CGAGCCACTTCCTGTGATGAAGATGCAGGAAAAGGTTTTGTTTTTTTCTGATCACGGAGGAGCAGCACCAGCTCAGACTGTGATGAATCTTCCTGAAGCTTTTTACAGTCACTTTTGATTTGTTGTCTTCCAGACCTCAGCTTGACCTCAGCGCTCTTGTTTTCTTAATTAAATTAGGAACTGAGAAAGAAGGGAAACATCAGTTATGTTGCTGCTGGGAATGCAGGCAGCTGCAGCTTTAGAATATTTATGAAGCTTTGAAGTTTCCTATGGATGACTGTGAACAAGCCGCAGTCTTAATGAGATGATTAAGATCACAGACTGGAGCTAATTAATATAAAATCAGCTTTTACTGTGACACAAACACAAAGTAAACGTAGCTGATTGATTTCTTCCTCTGACTGATGTTCAGATAATTTCACTGTGAGCAAACTTGATGAATAACAATAAGCAGCGAGTCGTATTTCTGTTTTATTCACATTCAGTCACGCAGACAATTTAAAGGAACATTCCACTCAATTCACAGATCCACAACATGTTTCTTTTGTTTGAGAGTAAACAAACAAGAATCAGACCTGAAAGCAGGAGTTGCGAACACCTGATGCTGCTTCTCTCAGAGCTAAAATGTTCAAAGATTTGTCATGTTTATGCTCAGAGAGAATGGGGGTTTGGTCCGGATTTAGTTTGACAATGTTTTTGGTTTCTTCGGCTGTAACTGTACGAAACATCAACACCTCCTGGAACAATAATGTACAGCTTCAAGGTCAATATTTCATCAGCGCACCAGTTGTTGTCGATTAGCCACTGGATGCTAGCAGGGTTAGCCTTGCAGACACTGCGATGGTTGTGAATCCTGTGCGATGAGTTACTGCACAAAGCATGTTGTATTTCTGTTCATTCTATCTCTGCTCTAACTGTGCGACTCATTTTACAAAATAATTACAAAACAACTCATTTACTTTGATGTGCTGAATTGAAAACGTGACTAAACTGTGAATGCAGCGTACTGTTACAGCCTCAGCCACCTGAAAGCAAAAGTCGGACATGACGGATCTGCATGAAGTCGTCTTTTCGGACGCCAGAGACGTTGTTGAGGTCGTTTCTAATGTTCTGACCGCCTCGTGTTTGGAAACAGAAACAGTCCAGGTGATTCACAGAAATGTCACACTGTTCCTTTAAACACACAGACACAGACAGAGGGAATGATGTTGTTTATCTGATGACAGGTAAAGAAGATGAAGACGAAGAAGAAGAGCTGGTGTTTGTGTTCAGCGTCTGCTGCCATGGCGACTGCTTCCATGCGCTCTGTCGCTGCCGCTGCTGTGACCCGACGTCAACATCACCTCCTCTAGGAAACTAACGGAGAGACAAAGAGAGAAGTAGTCAGTAAGTAAGAAGTAGTGTGTGTGTGTGTGTGTGTGTGTGTGTGTGTGTGTGTGTGTTACCTCTTGGTGTTGTGGATGCTGCTTCCTCCCAGCACGATCCGGACTCCAGGTGTGCTGCGGTTCAGGTTGTAAACCGTCAGAGCTTCTTCATACGTGGCTCCACCGATGATAAACACCAGGATGTCCTGAGGCCTGAAACACATTTTTACCACATGACCGTCAGCGGCAGCTTACCTGACTCAGGTGTGTGAAGTGTTTTTTACTTGTCTTTCAGGTGTGTGTTGCCTGTCTAAAATGAGTGTCTACTGTCTCTCAGGTGTGTGCTACCTGTTGCTAAGGTGTGTCACTGTCTGTAGTGTGCAGCTTTCTCTCAGGTGTGTTACTTGTCTCTTAAGTATGTTAGCTGTCCCTCAGGTGTGTTACCTGTCTCTCAGGTGTGTTACCTGTCTCTTAAGTGTGTTACTTGTCTTTCAGATGTGCTACCTGTCCCTCAGGTGTGTTACCTGTCTCTGAGGCTGCTGGCTCCCAGGTAGGGGAACTGACTGTCTTTGAGTCGACCTTTGATCAGCTGATCCAGAGTGTCATGAAGCAGCGGCTGATGCTGAGTGTAAACGTTTTCCACACCCTGAACACACACGTCAAAAAACACACACATTCAAACAATGTGCAGCAACATGCAGCTGTTCCAGTGTTCATGTCACTGATGGCTTGTATCATGTGAGGCTGCTACAGAGTCAGCAGGTGAATCACAGATGTTGCAGCAGGACACGTGAAGGACAGTCTGAAACAGTCAGCTCTTTCAATATACTAATTTGTATGTATTTGATCAGCTTTAACAAATCAATATACAGCAACCAGAAAAAATTAACACATTTTAAATCATGGTAATTGCAGATAGAACAACTTTACTGCATGTTCCATTGTCACAGCGGCCAAAATATGGAAAATAATCACTGAGAACCACAAGCATCTCCAGAGGTCAGAGGTCAAAAATTAATATACTAAGATTTTACAAACAGTTTTTGTAGAGAAAGAATCACATTTTAAATGGGAGATGAGTGGCAACCATACAGGTAAGATTACCTTTTAACAACGTCTTTGGTTTTTCAGGAAACAGAGGTAACTGCTGTTTGACTGACTGTGTGTGTTTTTTTTTGTACCTTGAGTCCTTTGAAGAACTGTTTGGTGATGGCGACGGCGTCTGTCGGCGTGATGAGGTCACTTCCTCTGACTCTCTTCCCTCCATACTCCACCACAGACTGAACCATCTGGAAGAAGCAGATTGTGAACTTTACTGCCCTCCAGAGGCAAAACACCGAAACTACAAGCTAAATCTGACTGTACAGAGAATATTCTGAATCCCTGAATCCGAGCTGACTACTGCGGCGGCGGCGTTACCCTGCGGTGGCGTTCGGACACTCCTCTCCTGCTCAGCTCGTCCATCAGAGACGGGAGGATGCTGCTGCTGTGACGTTCGTATCTCAAAGCGTAGAGCATGACGAGACGGACGGCGTCCAGCTCCGACAGACGAGGATTCTGCAGCAGCCGACGAACGCTCTAAAAGAAAACACAGAAAACCTCATTACAGCTCCTTTAAAGCTCACTACAGTTTCTTCAGTTGGTTACAGCTGTTTACAGATTCTTTAAAGCTCATCACAGGTTTTTGCTGCTCTAATGAGTTCACTTAAAGCTTGTTGCAGCTATTAGAACTCATCTCAAGCATCTTTTAAACTCTTTGGAACTACTCTGAAACACTTGTAGAGCTTGTATGGCTCCGTACATTTCTAACACATCGCTCTATCAGTAGAGGAAGCTTTAGATGTGAAGCTGAGGTGGATGAATCATCTGAACAGCGATGAGGTGACCTACCTGCTGAGCGTTGGAGTGGTCGTTCTGACAGGCAAGCTCCTGCTCCACCTCCGACACCTCCATCAGCTGCCGCTCCGACACCAGCCGGGACAGCTCCCCCACCACCGTCACATGTTTGGACACGGTGCCCGACATCTTCTTAAACTGTGGGTAGTTGTCTACAAACGCCTGCAGGGACGACAGCACACACAAACATCTGGACCGACTGGAGGAGATACTTTAACCTGTGTTTCAGAATCACTGAACTCCAGATCCAACACTGACCTTCATGTCTGTGATGGATTCAAGCTTCTGTTGTCCTTTGGGTTTTTTCTTCTGGAAGTCCTCCATCAGGTTCTTTATGTTGGTGCCGATCTCCCCGAAGTTCAGGTACAGGTTCTGACGTAGGAAAGAGACAGAGTGACAACGTTAAACCTCCAGACCGTGTCGGATGAGACTTTTTTGTTCAAGTGTGTTGGTGGAAAAATATAATATTTGTTTTGTTTAAAGTGCTTTACTGATTCAGTAGAAATATCGTTAGTCTCAGCGAGTCACACCACACTTTGTTTTACTTTCTTCACAAACTTTGCATTTTTAGATTCCTGCTGTTTCAGGCTGGTTTCCATTTATTTCCGTACACAGAACTCACTTAGCAGATGCTTCCACAAACCTTTATGATAACATAATGTGGATTTTAGACAGATTTAATGCATGTGAATTAACTCTTTGTGTGTGTTTTCAGCGATTAATACATTAAATGGAAACACATTAAGGAATAAGTATCACAAGATTCTCCAATCACCATCAACCTTCCTGGTTACTCAGTCGATAGCTGTAGCTCCATCGTTTGTTATAATGATTAACTACAGAATCACGTTCATCCAGTTGTTTGTGTTGTTTGCAGACCCGTAAGGAATAAATGAGGAATGTTTTTAATTGAACTGAAATAAAACTAAACCTGAGCGTCACAAGCAGCTGGAGTTTAGACTTCAAACGTAACAAAATGCAGATCTGAACTAATCCCTTCAAAATCAGATGATGAGAATCAAGGTAAATGTGTGAAAATGTGTTTCAGCGTCTTTGGACTCACGTTGGCGTAGAACTCATCGTTCTCCGCAGACAGAACCACCTCTCTCAGGTCTTTGCTGATTCCCGGGACTCTGGACAAGTCGATCCTGTTGTTGTTCAGACCCAGAAGCTCGTGGACCATCGCCTGATACGTCCACTGAAACACACAAGCTACAACTGTAAACAGCTGCTTCATGTTCTGGGTCTTTAACAGAGGATGCAGGTGTAAAGAGAACAAATAAAAAGGAGATTCACATCAGAGCTGCATTTTAAACAAACTGTGTTTTTCAGGAAAAGTACATTAAATGCGTACATTTGTGCTAATTTTATGAAAACAGAAAAAAAAATGCAACATATATATATAACCTGTATTAAAATCACTAAATAAAAACATGGACTCCTCAACTCACAATTATGACTTTTTAACTTATGATTACAAGAAATAAATGTCAATGAAGATCTCAAACTCACAATGAAATTGTGTAAAAGATCTCAGAATTATGCTAAAAATGTATAAGTACGGTAAAAAATGTCATGATTACAAGGAAAGAAATCGAATAATATTTTTAAAAAAAGTTTCGTAATTATAGAAGAAGGTGTCATAATTTCAGAAAAATATTTAATATTTACATTAAAAGATATTATAGTTATCAAAACATACTGTGTGAGTACATTAAAGACAAGTCATGATTACAAAAAAGATCCTAAAATGATAAAATATTTTATAATTATGTTTAAAAAAATGTCATAATTTGACACAAGATCTCCTAATTCAAAAAAATATTTAATTATTGCATGAAAAGAATTTCTGTAAAATCTGAAAATGACAAAAAAGTCTAATATTCTGAAAAATACTTTGTAATAATTATAGAAAACATTTAGGAACTATATTAAAAGATGCGGTAATTATGAAAAAGATCTCAGTTAATATTTTCTAATATAAATATTATTTCACAATTTAAACATTTTTAAAATTCTCATAATTACGAGAAACATTGTATAATTTCCACAAAGAAAAATCAAAGTAATTCTGAAAAATATTTTATAAAGAATCCTATGATTAAGAGAAACATAAATTTATCACCTGAACTAAGAAACTATTTCTAAACAAAACCGGAGCGCACGGCCTGTTTGTTGTTAAAACCTGATGATGTCCCAGAGGGCAGCGCTGTGATTGGTCACCTGGTTGAGCAGCGGCGTGATGGCGTCGTCGCTCCGGTCGAGTATCAGCAGCAGAGGAGGAACTTCGGTCTTTCTGAAGTCGAACAGCTCGTACTCCTTTGTGATGATTTGCTGAGAACAGACAAAGTTAAAGAAGAAGTACTCAAACAGTACTCCAGTAAAAGTATCATCAGCTGTACATGTGCTTAAAGCATCAGCACTACAAACTATACATGATAACGTGGTAAATATGAATTGTAATACTTTACATCAGAACTACAGTAATTGTTGATTGATAAATAAAGAACAAATAAATAATATTTGTCATTATTTTTTAGCAAAGATTAAAATCATCTTTGTTTTTTGAGCTTTTTAGAAGAAAATATTTGTTTTTCTTTGTCTAAAATCAAACCTCTTTGGGTTTTGGGCTGTTGGTGGCTGAAACCAGACGTCACTTTGTTCTCTCTAAAAAATCTTTTTCTGTATTTGTTTTTGGCATTTTATAGAGAAGACAATCAACTGATTAATTGATAATAAAAATCTGAGTTTGAAATCTGCAAAGTCCCCAATCTCACAAAACTCACCATTTTTTAAAAATGTGTTTGAAGAAAGTACTTCAGTGATTTTATGCATCTTGTGCCTGGGGTGCAGGAAAAACTGCAACACTTCCCTCTGAACTGTAGTGGAATCAAAGCCCCTCACGTACATCAACATCAACTATAGTAAACTGTCTGAACTTCAAGCTGTGGCGGGGAAGTTTTTGCCATCGTTACGCTCTTCTTCTTTACCATGGGCACATTTTTCATTATAACATAAAGTCCTGCACCTCTATGGGAACAACATAACCCTGACTAGATGGAGAGAGAATTCAAAAGTGTTTTCTGTGCATATACAGGAATTGGTTCAATGAATTTGATTACTAATTTTACAAAGTTTGAAAAAAACTGGAGTTATCATGTAAAACACCAAGTGCCCACATTCATTACCAATGTGAAAGAAATAGTTACTCCAAATGCTACGGATATTTTACTTCCTACATTTTTAATTTGTCTCCACACTCTGCTCTGTGTAAACACAAACTGCAGCTCAGCCGAAAAGTTCTTGATTTTTTGTCTTGTGACTGTTGGTCTCAGAAGAGTTTCTAATGACTTTTGTGTTTCATCGAGGAATTCAGAATTTCTCATTTTTACAGAATCTAGCTAGAGTACGTGGTTTATTTGTGCCAGTTCTTTATATGTGGCACTTAGAGTAAAGTGATTTTGATTAAATATCCCAACTGAATGGCACATCACAGACGAATCGTTTGTTTTTAGTGTTTCTGGCTGATAAATGTTGTAATTATGGCAACAGACAATATGCCTCTCAAACCCACAGGTGCATTTTGGAGTACTGAGAACATCGCTTGTTGTTGCCGTGGATACCTTGACACTCTCAGCGAGGCGTTTGGACATATCTGAGGACAGCTGGTAGCGGATCATCGGGCATTTCTTCAGAGCGAGCAGGACGGAGGTCAGACCCTGAGTGCAGCGAGACAACATGGAGGGTTCCCAACTCCGACCCTGAAACACAAAGACCCAAGTTATTCACATTATCTCACTGAGATCATGAAACTAAGAACATATCAACACCAGAAAGCACAGAACAGAGACAGAAAACCATTAGATAAAGAAGCTGTAACATTTGAGGGCTTTAAAAGAATCTATTTAAGAAGTACAGGATAAATGAAACCAGTTCTGCCAACGTTAGTGGGAATATAAACATTAGTGGGAATATAAACAGCTGATACGTATTTGGGCAGAGACACAATTGTCACAATGTATCCTCTTTACAGCCCCACAGTGGATTAGAAATGAAGCAATCAAGTTGTAAATTGAAGAAAAATGTGCAGCTTCTGAGCCTGTGTAAAGAAAAAGTCTGTAATTCCTCAACATTTAAAGTAATAATTTAGCTGAATCCCTTCAAATTGAATCTGAAAGTTAACACTTCAATCATAGTTTGACTGCTTCATTTCAAATCGACTGTAGTGATATACAGAGGGGAAATAAATAAAATTCGTCCAGCAGTTCAGGAGGTTTCAGGCTGGATCTGTAAACCCCACAAGGCACCAAATAATCTGTACTGAACATCAGACCCCGAGATTAGGATTCTCCTGCAGTTAAAATAAGTGCAAAGCCACTTGAAGCTCCTGCAGCACAAACTTGGCTTCATTAAAACTGTGACAAGAGACCCAACCTGATGAATGAAATCTGATCTCAGTTATGTGTTGAGGAGGCAGCAGAAACCAGACAGCTTCCATGTTTCTTACCCTGGCGACTCCCTGCAGGTTGAGGGAGAACAGGTGAGGGTTCACAGCGATGAAGTCTCCATAAAACTCCTGCAAAAACACAAACACACTCGGTAAGACGAGTTTATTTGTGCAGCACATTTCAACAAAACAGCAATTCAAAGTGCTTTACATGACATATAAAAGGCCTCAAGACCAGTGTGTAAAAGGAACATAAAGCATTATCTTTAAAAAAAAGACATTTTAACTCAAAGGAGTTCAATAGAGGATGAAAAAGTAAGATGAAACAGAAAGTAACAGTCACTGTGCAGTTGAAGACATTCAGATGCCTCAGATTTGGTTCTGTGAATGACAGAGGAACTGGATGCTGCCTCTCTGTGCTTTGCTTCGACTGTGTGGACCAGAAAAGTAGATCTGTCCCAGACGAACTGACAGGTCCGGACAGTTCATAATGTAGCAGTAGATCAGAAATGTACTTTGGCCCTCAAGCATTCAGCAGTATTTTAAAATAAAGTGTTTGGAAGACAGGAAGCAGTTTAAAGACCTCAGAACTGGACTGATGTGATCCACAGTTCTGGTCTTAGTGACGACGCGAGCAGCAGCTGCCTGATTAATTTTTTAGAGCCCTGTAAAGACACTGTTACAGAAGTCGAGTCGACTGAAGATCAATGCAGTCCTTGTGTTCTAAACGTACTGAGTCCTTTAATTCTTGATACATTCTTCAGGTGGTTGTGGGCTCACTTTGTAAACTGAATTTTTGCTGGTTCAGCTTTTAGGACTTATTGCTACAACAACAAAAATCCAGACGAGCATTAAATCATCAACATTATCGTGTGGACAACTTGACGTAGCTGGTCCAGGATCAGCAGCGACTGTTGGTTAATCCGTTCCTCCTTCGCTGACTGAAACCTGCAGCAGTGAAGCACAACTGACGTCTTTGGGAACCTGCTCAGGAACTCAGCTCTTCTACTTGAGGTTTTTTCAGAAGAACCAGAGACAGTTTGACACCCAAACACTTCCTCGTATTCTCTGTGTTTTCTAGTATTTTTCCAGCCTTTTCCACCCACCATGCAAACAAGACAAAGCAGATTGTGAGCTGCAGCTGGATCCTGAACTCACCTGGACTTCAGCCACGACTTCCTGTTCATCAGCTTCAGCCAGAGCTTTGATCTCACTCTTACTGATCACGTTACTGAAGTCTGAAACACACATACAGAGCAGTCAGATAATCATTTAGCTCTACATAAACCTAACAAACCTGTGTTTGGATTTCTGGAAGTTCATTCTGATGGACATCAGCGATGATCATATTCTCATCTGTAGTCAGTGCTGCTGAGACAACTTACAGATGAAGTAGACGCTGTACTTTGGTCTCCTCAGCTCCTGGATCAGGTGTTCTACGTTGTCCTGCAGGAAACACACAAACATAGTGTTAATGTCTGCAAGCAAATCAGATCCGTGATCACTCTTAACTGAGCATGTTACAGAATGTACACTGCCTTTCCCACTTGTGTATTTGTGTCTGTGTACTGTCATTTGAAATGCTTTTGGCTTTTGTTAACTGCAGCAGGACTACAGACATAAATTAGCCACTTTGCTATAATCTGGGATGTTTACATCTTGTACTTTTATACTGATGTGTATCAATGTGTACTGTCCATTCTAAATAAACAAGATCATCATTGTTATAATGTCATTATCACTCAGACAGACAGAGGGTCTCTACAGGTTTTGTACCTTGGTGGGTCGGAGGAAACAAATGGCCTTCAGGTGCTTCATGCTGTCTCTGTTCTGGGAGTCGATTCGCTCAAACAGGTAAACCTCCTTCTGCAGGATCTCAGACTGGGTGTACACCACACTCACTATACTGGTCTGAACACACACACAAACACATGTTTTGATTTACTGCACCACCGCATATATTCAACCTGGAAACAGACTGACAGCTTAAGATGAGATAAACATAGGTAACCACTAAAGTACAGTAACAGTACCACACAGTACTAGTAATAGTAATAGTAACAGTAACAGTACCACACAGTACTAGTAATAGTAACAGTACCAGTCATAGCAACAGTTCCAGCACCAGAAATATTATCAATGTACCATTATCAGAAATAGTACCAGTACCAACAACAGCAGCAATACCAGCAATAGTAATAGTACCTGCAATAATACCAAATAACAGTAACAGTACCACATAGTGACAGGACCACACACAGTACCTGTATAGGAAACAATATCACTAATAATGGCAGTCACACCAGTAAAAACACGACAACACAGTACAAGTAATACTACTGCTAATGGTAAACGAACCACACAGTACAAATAATAGCACCGGTAACAGCATCAGTCTCACGCAGTCCCAGTCCCAGTCCCAGTCCCAGTACCAGCCCCCCGGTGTCTCACCGTCTCCTTGTCCATGAGCAGCACCTTCATCCCGGGCCCGCTGTTCTCGATCATCTTGGAGATGTACTGCTTCACTGCGAGCGTCACGTTCATGATGGCGACGCTCGGGAACAACAACAACAATAAACAAACAAACAGCAGCAGCGGGGAGAGTGTTACAGCCTGCCGGAAGGATCCTCTGTCTCTTTCTGCTGGTTCTGGATAAATATCAGCTGAGCTGCTGCGACAACAACACGGCTGCACACTTCCTTCCGGGTCCTTGACGTCATCACGTCAGACGCACAGCGCCTGCGTGGGAACTTCATAAGCGTTTTTTTTTCTCTCTCTCTTTTTAGAAATCGTTACTAAGAAACCTGAATATAAATATCAAATAAAAGTTCTATTTACAGAAGTTGTGTGGGCCCTCTTAATGTAATACTTGTTTAAACTATTTTACTATTATTACTGATGCATGTAAACTGCATGTCATTGTTCAGACAGAGATGACTTTAAACTTATTATACTGGTGGATAGTTTAATGTACAACTGGTTCGGTGATTGATTTGTAAGAACATGAATAATCAGTTATTACTGCTGGAAAGGCAACACAAAGAAGTAAAAAAAAAATCAAAATGTTCTCTAAAGCATGACATAAAGTAAAAGTGCTTGATCACAATATTTGATTCAATATGTTTAATTCCTTCAATAGATAAACATATTAGCAAATGTATTTTGTACACAAAAATAAATACACTGCATGTAAACAAAGAGAAACATTCCCTGTGACCCCAAACAAAATGAAATAATCTGGTAATTAATGTTGTATAATACAAATATCTGCATATTAAATATAATACAGTGAAAATTTCTTTGATGATACATTTTCTTGATCAGGTTCTGACAATATTCCAACAAAAAGATTTGTTTGATGCGTGACTCTTCCACAGTGATGTGTGTGATCTACTTCAGTCAAGACGAATAGGTTGTCATAATGGAGAAGTATGAAGAATATAAACAACACATTATGGTAAAAAGTGATGTTACTGCAAATTATTCAAGTGAGGAACACTGGTTAGCAAAAATGTTCCCAGTGTAAGTAAATATGATTATTGTAGCTCTCAGTGACTCTCAGTGCAGCTGCTTATTTCTAACATGACAGCTGCACACTGGAGCTCTGAAACTTTGAACGTCATACATTTTAACGTGATGCTTAACAAGTGCATTTGGCCAAATCACATTGAAATTAATGTCATTTATTAAATATTCTCTGTAATAAATGGAAGAAGAAAAAAACAACTACATGTAATCTCCAGATTTCTGTAATCACAGCAAAGCAGTTGTTTTTAAAATGGTTGATCATCAAGACATATTATTATAGCTTGTTCTTTTTTGTTTATATACACTTGTAATTTTGCAAAGAAAGATGCCAATTTAATATTTTGTATAATGGAGATGCAGTAGAAATTGTGTGAACAAATTTAATGTAATGTCCCCCCAATATCTGAGAGTTGTTGCATTCTTGCTAACAGCAATGTTAGCTAACTCGCTAACAGCAGCTTTAAATTAGTCATACACACTATTGTAATTTAGCACAAATTTAGCATGAATTTACTTATTTATGCAAACCGTCCAAAATGAATGTCACCTGTATCCCCAGCTTGTCTCATAACGCTACACGACTGTTTTGAAAATGACAATGACTGTTTTATTTAACTGAAGACATTAGCTAAGCTAGCACTTGTTAGCACTTGCTGCAGTTTTCAGGGTTCAAAACACAACTAGATATAACCAGAGACATCCTACAGGAGCTTGTAAGTAGTGTAATATGTTTAACCTTTTTAACCAGTTGTTTCGGATCAACTATAGATGGTTGCATATGTTTTTGTTGTTGATTATCTTAGTTTTTCTTAATGTCACTTAAATAACTTCCTGTATACAAGTTAGCTAGTCGTTGTTTGCTAGCTGTTGCAAGGAAGAAGCAAACATTTCTATATACATGACCGATGAGCTCCACTTAATACAGATTTAAACATAATTAGCATTGTGGTGGTATTTATTCACTTTACTTGGCCAGTGTTGGTACTTAATGTCTGGATTAGCTTTACACTGAGCTAGCAGATGCAGCTAACCTCAGTTTGTTCAACTAGCTTATTGTTAAACTCAGTTCTCATCACTAATATTAGCTGTGTGTAACACAGGTGAGGTAATCAATTAATTTAATTTAACTTGTGAATTATTGTAGCTGGATGTAAACTACAGGCTGCTTTCTGATATGACTTTAGCACTGGGTTAATCTGATGTTTGCTAACACTGTGTCATAAAGTTTAGTCTGTTAAAAAACGCCAGTAAATGTCAGCTAGAAGTCTCTTTAATCAGCGTTTTAAGGGTTTAAATCGCGTATTTTTCTAAATCAGTCTAAATGTGATTAAAGTCCGACCCCTTAGTGTTTGTTAGCGTGTTTGTGGCGAACGTGGTAAAGTTAACGTTGTGTAACGTTAGCATGCTAACCTCTGTTAGCACACAGACCTCAGGCTCACTTCTGCTTCAGGCTGAACGCTGTTTATTGTGACATTACGCCGTATTGCTATTGCGCGTATTTTTCGCTTTTTATTAAAGGTCCAGGGATGAGAGGTGAGAGTTTTAATCTGTATTTATTAACAATATTACACTAGTTATAACTTGCTGTGTCTGCAGGAAAAGGTATTGCTCCGCCCCGTCTGCATGTAGTGCCTTACGAGACAGCAGCAGAAGTGAGACGGCGGAGGGATACAGAAGCGCTTTTCACACCAGACAGCTTCAAACCAAACGTGTACACGGGCTAACTGCTAGGAGCTGCTACTCTGTGAAGAACACAGATTTCTCGTTTTATTTGTAGAAAACACGCAGTTTTACGCCGGAATTTTAACGGAATAAATATTTACTTAACCTATTACAAGTCCGTAAAAGGTAAGCGCGCTCCTGACGGGTATCTTGTAGAGTTACTGAAGTCCCTTGTGTGAGCTGCCCGGCTAGTTGTGAACCTATTAGCACGGTTAGCTTATTGCTAAGCAGGCAGAGGAGGTTGGAGGGGGGCTGGTGGAGGAGTTTTGCAGCACTACACTAAAACACAGCGCTCTTTTTCTTGTTTGTGTCACCTCAAGTTTGGATAAGTAAACAGAAAGTAAGTAAAGTAAGTAACCTTAGCATTTAGCATGCTCTGTTGGTGCACTGGTGTAAGTAATGTGTTTTAATTAGCTTTGAATGGTGCATTAGCATGCTAGCTTAGCTTACTAATTGAATGAGGTCAATCTTTCACAGCCATGCCGCTTCTTATTATGCTCTGTGTGAGTTAATGTCGTAGTAAACTTGGTTAGGGCAACTTTAAATACGCTATTTCAATCATGTTTTTACTAAAACTGACTTGGAAAGCTAAGTGGAGTTCTTCAGTATTCCATGTAGCATTGGCAGCTTTTAGCTAACACTTAGCAGGATGTTTAAATAGAGCAAATGAAAAAAGTGTGAAAATTATTAATAAAATATATGTTATGTAATGCCTTTGGATGTTCTGCCGAGCTGAAACAAGTAGTGAAATGATGCAGCAGTCAAATTACCATGTAGTGTTTGTTTGGTTTTTATAATTTTGTAATTGTTTTAGTCATTTTTATGACACAAATATGAAATACTTTTGTTTTCAGCTTTTCAAACAAGAGGATTTAAAGATTTCCTTCATTCATTTTCTTCATCACAAAGAGTAAACAGAATATCTTAATGGCTTGGACTGTTGGTCAGACTGAACAAACATTTGAAGGTGTCTGTAGGACATTATACCAACTTATTATAATAAGTATTATAGACTATATAATAACAATGAATTAATTATTCAGTAAAATAATTAAGCATTAAAACCAATTAATTAGTGGTGAGAATAATAAATAGAACAACTATATAAATATCAGCATCCTTCAAACAAGTCACAGTAAGGCTACTTCTAGTGATTATTCTACCACTTGCTTTCTTTCTTTATTTTTTAATCTTTTAGTCATTAAAAGTGAGAAATAAAGAAAAGCACTCTTGACAAGCAACTATGAGGTTATGCCTTTAGATTTCTACATCCTGAAGAAAAAAACATCAAATATAGATAGAAAACAGATAGAAATGAATAATTATTTACATCATTATTTATTGTTTTTGTCACCAAATTAATGTGATTGATGATTATTTTCATAATTTTGTTTCTAAAATAGCAAAAAGTGCTGAAATCCAGTCGTACTAGGTGGCGACTTGCCCTTGACCCCAAAATATTCAGTTTACTGTCAAGTATTTCTTTATTTGGATTCTTATTAGCTTTAGCCACAGCAGCTGCTCTGTCTTTTCAACTCCTCAGAAAACCCCACATGTGTTGTTTTATTTGTGTGTTATATTATGAACATGGAGGAAAATGCCAAGTTTGTTTGTCCAACTGTCCAAGACTTAGAACAAAATATATTAGGGCAGAGGAATGTGTTTATTTGCAGTTAAACTAAAACTTAACTGCTGTACTGCAGCAGCATCAGCATCAACCTGACCTGCTTCATTAACAGTCAGTGTGTCTGTTGTTTTCTGATTGTTAATGTTAAAGCGTCCAGCAGTTTGAATTGTCTTCAGTACTTAATTGTTATTAATATTTATTTGTTTTTATCATAATCCTCTGAACTCCAGTTTTTGAATTCTTATTGAAATCCTGCACCACTATGGAAACCTTGACTGGAAGTAGCGATTATGCTAAACAGAAATGTCTTCTGTTTAGCATAATCACTTTACTGTGGGGCTGTGGATGTGTGGGTTTTTTTTTTTTACCTAATCGGGTGCAAAGTATTTATTTTTTGTAAAACTTGTAAATTTTTTGAGGTTTGTTTTTTTGGTAACAGAAATGCACACGTCAGTTTATTAGTCCAAGGACCCTGTGAAGGCTAAAAATCTTATTGTTATTGCTTCTTGCAATGACACACTTTGTAATTGTGGTGTCATGTTTTTAAAGGAAACATGCTTTTTTTAATCTGTTGACAGGTTTTGTGGTTTAGCGGGTTAAAGAATTAAATAAGTCTTTTAACAAGAACTCAATCAGTTTAGTCTTTGCAGAGTTTTGTTTAGAAGTTTGGGGTTACAGCGTTTCATGTGAAAGTTTGAGGTTATATATTTAATGTTAAATATGATGTTTTGTTCCAGGTGTGTCCTCCCTGCAGGATGATGGAGGCGACAGCAGGAGGGAGCACTGACCTTCTAATGGAGTGTGATGAAGAGGA